TGACATATGTATGTATACGGGTGGTGTTGTGTCTATACATACGCATTTGTATGTTGAAATTCAAAGATTGGGAGTGTAGCGAAGATTTCTCGTGAATGTCTCGTGAATGTATACATTACATATTTTTATTTTTCCAGTGAATAAATTTCTTCGCATTTATGTATATACGTGTGGTGGGGTTTGTGTAAAATTATGATAGGTAAAAATTATTATTATTATTTATATTTATTTTTAAATTTTTGAAAAAAAGGGGGGGTTATTCGTTATATTTAAAGCTGGTTATTTGTTTGTTTTTGATGACTGTGTATATGTAACAGGTAGAAATTTGTAAACCTTATTGGTTATTTAATATGGTGATGTTTAATATTTAATATGCTGGGTGAGAGGGTAGTTTAATTTAATAATTATAACGGGTCTATATGATATGATGTGATAGTAATGTTGCAAGGGATTGGAGGCAATGATAATATAATTAGCTAATAGTTATTGTAAATTGGTAGAAATGATTAGTAACGGTGGTGAGAGAATGATAAAACCATAATTGTAGTTATAGTGGTGGTAGCTTGAACTAAAAAGTGATTGTTGGTGTTTTATTTTATTTTGTTATATGTATTAATTTATTTTGGTATAAAACCTGATAATAGGTATTCTGTGTAAAATTATGGTAGTTGAAGATTGCTATAATTTTCACTTTTCACTTTTCACACACACACGCACACACACACACACACACACATATATATATATATATATATATAAGTGAACAGAAGGCAACACTTAGAGGTGATAGTCTGTTTCATTTTCTCGGCTCTTTATATATACGGGTCAGTGATGCATTGTGGGTAGTCTATAGACTATATATAAATAGCCGAGAAAAATAACAGCACTCGTAGCCTGACGATTCCAACTAGCATGAAACAGACTGTCGCCTCTCAGTGTTGACTTCTATGATCACTTTTGTATTTACACACGCTCTATCTCTGATATTGAGCACTTTAGCCCATAAATATAGCATATATTAAGACGATATTTCTTCATATATATATATATATATATATATATATATATATATATATATACACTCTTATACTCTAATTTAAATACACTTTATGCACATGCATATTTTCAATATAATACGTATAAATATAGTTCAAATAGTCACATGTGGAGAAATATAAGAATATACCTTCAGACTTACATAGATAAAAACTGGATGATGCAGAAATACAACAAATGCCAATTACAATTTTGCATTGAAAAAAATTATAGATACACAAACGCATGAGAACAATGAATTCGATTTCCATATTTCACTTGAAAAAAAAATAGTGCGTTTTACTTTGAGAATAAGCTCATCTTATTAATTATATATTGGAATATTTCATTTCTCATCGTTATCGAAATAATTTGCGGGTAGCATAACATTTATAGATATCAGTGAGAAGAATTATGGAGCTGAGTTCAAATTCAGGGATAATCAGTAGCATTCACTTTTTCACCTTTTCTCTTAGGAAAGGTATGGATACCAAGATAGATTGGGCTTTTTCGGGATGTTTTCAGTTTTTGGAGAAGGAAATCTTCGAAACAAAATCAAAGAGATACCAACAGGAAACCATTATCGCTCTGAATAAATCATGGAAATAAACAGAAAAAGAAATAGAATTTGTGAACAACCATGAACGACGTGTGCATGTTTTTTTTTCAACGAATAAAGTTTGATAGGCCCAAACCTATTTTTCTGGGAATATCATACAGGATACAACCAGATGAAGCTTTCAGAATAATGGCCTTATTACAATTTACCGTATGCTGAGTAACAATCTGTTTAAATCCAGTGCATACTTTTATCCTGTTATTTAATCTATAGCTAACTGGGATAAGGACAGATTAATTATTGCCTTTCCCAAGGGCATGAATTCGAGATGAACGCAGTAGATTCTGTCGGAACTTGAAGTCGATTTGCTGATACCATTTTGCAGTTCGATAACCGTTTCGGTACGGACACATACTTTTTAGATATATTGATACCATTAACGACAGCATCAAAAATACTGTATATATCTTTGAACCTTATTTCTTTAATTATTTCTTCCTTATTTAAGTATCATTGTTTTCCGTAAATATAAACAGAGGTCACCAACTGTAAGAAACTAAATGTTATTGATCGAAAATTTTCGACTATTTATTTAAAGATCAAGAAGATCCAAGTCAAAATCTCTCCTACAATAATTCCGTCATTTATAAATACAAAACCAGCTAAATTGTAAGGTTAGCTGTTCATTTAAATTTCTCAGACGCCAGAGATGTTGTGTTCTCCATTCGATGTTGATAATAATTGATTGTATTTGATTTGTTTGTTTAACGGCATATCAACATATTTATGGGTTATTTAATGCCGAAATTTAATTTTCTTGTTATTCTGCTTTCACGATTGAATCCACTTTTGTGAATGTAGATGTTTGTGTAAACATAATTACGAGAGGCAGTGATATGTATGTTTAATGTTTTGTTAAATTTGGAATACACTTTAATTTCTTTAAGAAATTGTAGGATATTATATGGATTAATATCATGGAAGAGTTCTTTCATGTTGATTGATGTATTGTTGGCAGTTTTATTATAAATAATTTGGTGTTAATCCTTTTTTTATATAAAAATCTATTGCTGGTATATTTTCCAATGAAAATATAGTAGGATTTAGTTTTTGTTTGGGGGATTCACTATTTGTTACAGGTGCTATGACATCGGGTCAGGTTGGACCAAGGAATAAGAGCAGTTAAGAAGCGGTTCCACACTCCTCAAAACCTCCAGGCTCCTGGTCAGAGGCCTTGATGCCGGTTGTAGTTTCCCCAGGGCAATGATGATAATAGTTAAACAAATTAAATAAAGGCCATTTAGCGATATTCGTTAAGCTTTACAGAAAGAAGAAATATTAAACATTAAAAAATATCTTTCTTTAATCACAGCCAACGATTGCTGTCTACGTCCTTAATTATATTCATAAAATTTTTTATTTATATGTGAAAATTCCTATTAATTAAGATATTAATTAAAATATTTTCATTAGCTCTTGATGATTATTTATGATTAATTGTTCAATCTGATAAAAATACAAATATCGCCATTGTCCAAATATTGCGCATTACAACATTAAACCGTTGCCTGATAGTTTCGATGCGATGATTCTAGTGAAAATCAGATGATGCTTGCTCAGTAAACTATGTATGCCAGCACTAGGTACTTACCACATTGGCAATTAAGTCTCCCGTGAGATTTACCTAATGAGGAAATTGTCTATCCCGGCAGCAGGATAGAAAATAAGACCTCACAAAAGGGCGCATGAACGGCACAAATTCATTACCTTCATATTTATACGCGCCTTTGGCTAGGCAAAGGCTAAGGGAGATAATCTGAAACAAATACGCTCTGCATTTATACAAAGGCATATACGTTAACCAGTATGGTGTCTGGTAAGATGTTACAACCGGAACAGCTGTGTCTACTTTCTGATATTCCAATCTATTAGATTTAAATGTTAAATGTCAAGATAATACTCCTGGAGATCTGCATTTCACCAGAACACACTAATATACTCTGCTCATGTTTCTGTATTTATTTGTCATATATTTCTATGTTAGGAAAATGGCATTTCATGCCGATCTTTTGAAGAGAAAAAAATTATCTCCAAGTTTGGATTGAGCCGTCATATCAGGAGACATTAACAACGAGTAGTTTAAAAGTTCTAATATTAAAATTCAAACCAACGATATGTAAATGGAAGAAATAATCATTGACGAACTCAGACTACTCCTGAATTTACTAGGGGATTGTCTTTCAAGACCGATCCATTTTAATAAGAAAAGATTTGATTTGACTAAAAAGAGTATATTTGAAGAAGCTGATCATAAAACATGTAAAAAAATGTGAATATAGTCCAAGGGAATTAAGGCAATCACAATTTATGTAAACACCATTTTACGTAAACATTTATGCAAACATTTCAGTAAACATCACAAATGTGTAATTTAGCCGAGAAGAGTTTCAAGGTAACTTCACTGATAACTTAGAATACCATTCTGTCAAAGACATTCTTACCAAAACAATTTCTGAAAACCACCTTCGATATTTACCATAGTTTTCTTCTTGTCATTATGTGCGGATTTTGCTGTTTGGCGTCTCCATGCGTCTTTGTTTGTCTCAAAATTCTTCATGTCATGACTGAATATGCTTCTTCATGTATAAAAAGAATGCCTATCTATTAAAATATTTTCTTGAAGAATCATAAATTACCACACTTGTGAGTATTTTTATCGCCTCAAGATTAATAACAAAAATTAAATTGATAGAGAAATCTAAAACCCTTCAACATTAACTCAGTAACATGAAATATCGCAACACAATTTGCTGCTTTTCTCCTTTTGGCCTTGTACCTGACTATGCTAAACCTCATACACGTCGATAAATAATTGCAGAATCTTTGAAAATATCAAAAACTTGGAAAAACTTTTTTCTTTAAACTATTTGTAACAAAAATCAAATCGCATTTTCTCGCCAGCCAACTTTTTTCCTTCTTAATTTCTCGCAATCATTAAACGTTTTCACTGTCCAAATTCTCTTGAATACTTTTGCGTCTGATTCCATTCGTTGGCCATGTATTAATTTCCATTAATTAAGCTATCAACTCTTTCTTTCTCTTTACAGTAATCACCAAACACACGCCATTAATTTGTATTTAACTTTCTTACTTTCTTTCTTTTTCCCCTTGTTATTTCTATTGACTTCTTTTTTGCCTAGATTTAAAAAAAAAAAAATTACCCACGATGCCCGGTGAATATAAACACAACAAGATTATATTGAATCCTTTCAACGAAATGTAAGTCCAATTTTAATGCTGGGATAGATAGATAGATAGATAGATAGATAGATAGATGAACATGGATACATTCAGAGAGAAATAGTAGATAGATAAATAGATCTATAGATAATGAACAGTCTTAGACGGATAGATAGATAGATAGATAGATAGATAGATAGATAATAAACAGACTGGCATATATATATCTAGAGAGAGAGAGAAAGAGAAAGAGAGATAGATAGATAGACTATTGGTCAAAGATATTATCAGTAGGATATTGAGAGTATAGAGAAAGGGGCAGGAGAGAGAGAGTAAGAGAGAGGAGATTATTAGTAACAGATGTATTCATATATATATATATATATATATATATATATATATAAAGAAATATAGTCTTAAGGTGTGCTATATTTATGGGATAAAGTGCTCAATATCAGAGATAGAGCGTGTGTAAATATAAAAGTGAACATAGAAGTCAACACTTAGAGGCGACAGTCTGTTTCATGCTATATGCAATCGTCAGGCCACGTGTGCTGTTATTTTTCTCGGCTATTTATATATATACGGGTTAGTGGGCATTGTGGGTATTCATATATCCCATATATATATAAATAAATATTAATGAAAAAAATAGAAATAAAAAAGAATGAGATGGAAAGTCCACTTTTAAATCAGGACCTTCACAATAACACACTTAAGAAGGAAAATATCAAAACAAAAAATGAAAAAAAGAATTAGACGATTTCGAGAAAGACTTAACTGACCTAGTTAGAAACATAAAATTCCATAAAAAACAAGATGCATTCAAAAAAAAACTAAAAGCAGATATAACTAAAATAAACAATTCAGCAAGTGTATTTATCGCTGACAAAACGAAAATTTATACAAACTAAGCCCTCCTACACACAATAAATTACTCAAGAACAACATAACCAAAACATACAAAAAGGCACCCCAAACAACAGAACACGATATCAATAAGGAAGCTAAAACAATCGCCCAAAAAATTAGACCTAGATGACTGGGTATTAGAGCAGAACCTTTATCACACTAAAAAACCATAAAGAAAATTTCAAAACTAATGCATGCAGACTCATAAACCCAGCCAAAAAAGCGAACTAGGTAAAATAAGTAAAACAATACTAGAAAGAATTAATTTGAACTTAGGAAGAAATTAGGGTAAACCAGTGGAAAAATACGAAAACAACTATTGACTGGTTCCACAAATAAATAACAAACAAAATTGCCAATTCCTACAATTAGACATAAAAAATTTTACCCATCTATAACAGAACGTATGCTAGATAAGGCCAGACTTATCAGGAACAAATAATAATAAAATGAAATCAACATCATTAAACTCCCGTAAATCATTATTATTCCACAATGAAGAAGCATGGATAAAGAAAGATGGGATATTTGACACTACAATGGGAAGCTTTGACGGTGCAGAGGCATGCGAAATCAAGGCATTTACTTACTACACGAACTGAGCAAAATAATAGATAAAAATGACACAGGACTCAAGGGACGACGGCCTCATAATCTTAAGAAACTGTAACAAACAAAACACAGACAAAAACTAGAAAAGCAATAATAAAGATTTTTAAAAATAACGGATTCGACATAGATATAAAACCAACCTAAACGAAGTAGAATGACCTTCAACCTAAGAGAAGGCACATATAAACCATACAGAAAAACCTAACGATAAACCACTCTACATACACACATCTTCCAACCATCTTCTATAATCAAACAGATACCAAAATCGATTAACCGCAGGCTCTCCGACAATTCCTCCAATGAATCCCTATTTAACAAAGCTAAAAAAGACGAAACGGCCCTAAAAGGTCGGATTCCCAGCAATACTCATATCTCACCAGAATACAAAAAGACCAACAGGAGAAGAAATATCATATGGTTCAACCCCACCGTACAGCAAGAACGTAAAACAAACGTAGGAAAAATATTCTTCAAACTCTTACACAAACACTTCCCAGAATCAAGCACCTTACACAAGATATTCAACAAAAATACAGTAAAAATCAGCTACAGCTGCACCGAGAGCAGCACAAATAATAAAAAAAGCACAATAGGAAAATTATCAACAAACCACACGAACAAATTAAACCCCGTGCAACTGCAGAATAAAGAACGAATGTCCCTTAAACGGAAATTGTCTACAAAACAACGTAATATACCAAGCCACGATAAAATCACCAGATAACGAAGAAAAAGTACATAGAGTAAACTGAAGGACCCTGGAAGCAAAAGAAATTATATACACAAAACATCGTTCACAAATAGTAAATATGCGAACAGTACTATGCTTTCTAAGTATATCTGGGAAATAAAAAAAACAAAACGCACATCACACCAAAAAATATCTTGGAAGATAAGGAAAAAGTCATCAGCCTACAACAACCAATCAAAAACTTGCAAACTTTGCTTGGAGGAAAAAATAGCTATCATTACTTTCCCCGACCAAAATAAATTATTAAATAAAAGATCCGAGCTCATCTCAAAATGCAGGCATGAAAATAAATTTTTACTACGTAAAAAAAAAAAATGAAAAACGGAAAAATAAAATAAAAACAAATACAATAATAATAATAATAATAATAAAAAAAAAAAAATAAATAAATATAAAATAAATAAATAAGTACTATGTTGCTTAAACTGAAAAAAAACCAAAAAGAAAATATAAAAATAAATTGACCTAAATTCATCCAAGTAAATAAATAGGCAAACCAATGCCAAAAAAATAATAGTTAGAATGAACTACAACAACCAACCCCAAAATTGAACAAATAGCTTTAATTAAATTCTCAAACCAAAAAAACAAAACTGTTAAATAGGTGATATAAACAAATTTTACTACTTTAATAAATAAATAAATAAATAAAATAAGAAAAAAAAAAAAAATAAATAAATAAATAAATAAAATAAAATAAAAAAATAAATAAAAACGAAGCAATATAACTTGACCCAAATAAATGAACAAAGCGACTTCAAAATAAAATAATAAAAATAACCGCTATAATAGAATACCCACAATGCAATTCACTAACCGTATATATATAAATAGCCGAGAAAAATAACAGCACACGTGGCCTGACGATTGCATATAGCATGAAACAGACTGTCGCCTCTAAGTGTTGACTTCTATGTTCACTTTTATATATATATATATATATATATATAGATAGATAGATAGATAGATAAATATATAATGAACAGTCTGAGTAGATAGATAGATAGATAGATCGATAGATAGACAGACAAAAATATCAGTGGTATATTGGGAGTATATTGGGACACAGTGGGAGAGAGAAAAAGATATAGAATGAGATTATTAGTAGTATTCAGAGGGACATAGATAGATAGATAAATAGACAATGAATTGTCTGAGATAGATAGATAGATAGATAGATAGATAGATAGATTGGAGTGGTGTGGTGTGGAAAATTTCTCGGCCCGACCAAGAAGTAAGTGAAAATATCTTCTCAATAGATATATTTATTTCGTTAAAAATATATTTTCGTGTGATATTCAATTTTCGATCTCATTTCAATTGACCTCTTGATTCTTATAACTTTTTATTCTTCATCGCTCCCGAAGCTTTTAGTGCTGATTAAACATCTTTCAATTCCCAATAGTCGAGCCAACTGTAGCTGAAGTCACGTGGCTCACGTGACGGGCGCTTAGAGTCACACAAGTCGCCCTGTTCCCGCTGGAAAAGATGTCCTCACTAGTGACAAAAATGATAATAAATCCGCACCCTCCCCTAGAATTATAGAAACGCCATCTCCACGTCGAAAAATACCCATGGCTCGCTGCTTTCTCGTTTGAAAAAATATGGCCTCACTAGTGGCTAATCCGGCTCACTGGAACCCCCCTTGTGAAACGTAAATACGGCTTATCGAGGAACATAGAATAAACCTCCAGTAGCTCAATTTCCCTTTGGGAATTATTAAAAGTAAGATATTACATCTCATCCCAATTTTTAACACTGCTTGTTGTGGTGTACATTTGTTATATTTTCTACGTGTGGGACAAGTGTAAATATTTGTATATAATTTTTTTGTGTGACTTAGCGGTATAAAACTCTCTAATATCAAATTATGTTGTGCCTTTTTTCAGTTATTCCGTTCCGTCTCTGTATTAAGGTGTTATTATATCATGGACATAATAATTCCCATAATGAGGAAAATTCAAATTGAGAATATTCTGTTCTTGGAAAGTAGTAAACTGGTGACCACAATCTGATGTTATATCAAACCACGGTTGTAAGAATTCTGAGACTAATATTTAACATTTCGTCAGTAAACCTCATCAGGTTGCTTAATTAGATCATATTTTTTGTTGACATCTTTAGCCTTGATAACCTGGTTGGAATAAAGTGATGTATTGACTAACAATTTTGATGTCATCATCCTATGAGATGGATTACTGGAAATTCCAAAATGTTCTATGTTGGTGCAGAAATATCCAGTCCTACCTTCGCAATTAAACATTAGATTCATGATAATTTTTTAATAGTGTCTGAATAATTTTTCCAATATTTCTTTTGTTAATATATTATTGCTGCATTGTATGTTTGTATAGTTCACGACTTTTTTTATTTTTTGTTAAAATATATCTCCATTTGAATTTTTCTTAAATCCGTCTAGAAATTTGTTTACCTCGGCATCAATATTCATTCAACGGACAGAAACATCAAAATCCGCAATGGCAAGGCCGATGGTGTCCTTGATGATCTGAGGACCATCTGGAAGTCTTCCCTCTCTGACAATCTTAAGAGAGAGTTCTTTAAAACCACGGTATGATCTGTCTTGCTATACGGCTCAACATCATGTACTCCGACGAAACACCAAGAAACATCACTTGGCGGACCATACACAAGGATGTTACGTGTTGCATTGGACATCGGCCGGAAGAAACATATAACAAAGAATCGCCTGTATCCTCCTATATCAGGCTTCGGATAGCTGGTCACTCCTCGAGAAGTCAGAACTTGTGAGTGGCACCCTCCTCTGGAACCCATTGCGCGGCAAAAGATCAGTTGGAACACCTGAACACCTCATGACCAACTTGTAGATGACTCTGGGTGCCCTACCGACAGCGATGTCTGATAGAGATGAAGAATTCTCGGATTCTCCTGACTCGTTCCTTCCAAGCATCTTATATGGATAAATATATACATATTTTTTATAATTAATTATTAATTTTGTATTGAAATATCCCACCTGCATCGATAGATAAAAAGGCAGATATACTTTTATAATAAAATTCTAAATTCATATGAAAATTTTGACGATATCCTTACGCATGAGCAATGGAACGAGAACAGTCTAACCGCGTAGAATAAATAAAGTGTTAAGTTCAGAATTCCCTGTAGGTTACATTGGTCGATATACTCCTGGGGAAGCACGGCGAGTGGAACGACCGAAAGAAATATTAGGACAATAGTCTGAATATAAAAGGTGTAAATAATAAGATACGGTGGAGTAATTGATAACGGATCTCATTGAAGAATCAGAGAGCCGGGTTCGAATACCATTCACTTATTACCCCTGGGAAAAAAATATGAATCCATTTCTTCTCACCTCGGAAAAATGGCCTTGGTTGACGACTAGAGTAGAAAAAATTTGAAATCAAACCTGCCTGGCTGGCAATCTTGCCTAAGAGACGCTACTGCTACTAAGGGTGCGGTAGATGTCGTGTCCCTACGACACTAATGGGGTTAGTGGACTCGCGATCGTGATCGGCAAATAGTAACACATCATCCCAGAAATTCAGACAGAAAGATAAAATATAGTCCAAGGGCTGGTTCAGGGGGTGTAGAGGGTGAACACACCCCAACTAAAACTTCTGAGTCAAAATATTTTGTTGCAAAGTAGACAAGTTAAGTTATAATGAGTGAATTTTATCCCATTGTTCTTTTGTATCTTCCCAAAGATATTCCGTTAGACTATGATAAAATCGTGATCTTCTATGCAATTAAGAATCCACGAAAATTATCTTTAGTAAATCCCGTTTAATAAACTCTGTATAATCACTCACACACGCACACACACACACGCAATTTTTAAAAAGAGGGAACAGTTGTGGGTGGGGAACTGGACCAGGCGGTCACAACAGGAAGACGGAACATCATTTCAACTTAGAGCTAAAAAGAGCAATTAGAAAAGATCAAATTCTATCCATAAATCGTTTGGTACGTAAGAGTGTAATTTCAGCTATGACATCCCAAAAGACTTCAGAATGATAACATATATATATATATATATATATATATATATATATATATATATATATATATATATATATATATATATATGAATTTTACTTCAATACTTTATGAGCTTCCGATCGTTAGCTTAATTAATTAATGATGAAAGTGTCACTTTCGTTTTTAACCGATTTTCATCATGATTATTGTTGTTAGGCTTTAACAGTAATTATTCATTTTCATGGCTCAAAGAAGAGTCCAATAGTGTTATAAAACCTCGGAGAATTCCAGTAAGATATCTTTAACCATTTCTCTTCAAAGCTTAATCTAACTATTGGTCAGTTTTGTTTTTACGTGATTTGGACAATTTTGCTGTTACAAACAGTATATGGTCAAAGAATTTAAACTGAAAATGCTGGATTCACCTCTGAGTCGTAAACGTAAACAAGATTCGAACGTATATAAGTAAATATTTTGAAAGGGTGAAATTATTTTTTTCACTGTTTTCATAATTAATAGTTACATGAAAATAAATTCGTTATATGTACTAAAATGAAATGTAAGTATTGGAAATATATTAAATAAGTATCATGCTCATCAGATAGATAGATAAATAGATAGATGTGAAAGAATGAGATAGATAGATAGATAGATAGATAGATAGATAGATAGATAGATAGATGTGAACAGAATGAGTTAGCTAGGTAGATAGATAATGAACAGACTAGGATAGATCGATAGATAATGAACAGCTTGAGATACATAGATAGATAGATAGATAGATAGGTGTAAACAGAATGCGATAGATAGATAGATAGATAGATAGATAGATAGATAGATGATAGATGTGAACAGAATGAGATAGATAGCTAGATAAATAATGAACAGACTGAGATAGATCGATAGATAATGAACAGACTGAGATAGATAGATAGATAGATAGATAGATAGATAGATAGATAGATAGATGTGAACAGAATGAGATAGCTAGCTAGATAGATAATGGACAGACTGGGATAGATCGATAGATAATGAACAGCTTCAGATAGATAGATAGATAGATAGATAGATAGATAGATAGATAGATAGATAGATGTAAACAGAATGCGATAGATAGATAGATAGATAGATAGATAGATAGATGTGAATAGAATGAGATAGATAGCTAGATAGATAATGAACAGACTGAGATAGATCGATAGATAATGAACAGACTGAGATAGATAGATAGATATATAGATAGATAGATAGAAGTGAACAGAATGAGATAGCTGGATAGATAATGAACAGACTGAGATAGATCGATAGATATTGAACAGACTGAGAGATAAATAGATAGATAGATGTGAACAGAATGAGAGAGATAGCTAGATGAACAGCCTGAGATAGATAGATAGATAGATAGATAGATAGATAGATAGATAGATAGATAGATAGATATGTGTTCGTATATGTGTACTTGAGTTTATCATGAAGACGTGGCTCGCTAATAACTGTCGTTGATGCGATTAGCAATCGACTATTTCAAGCTAGTCTCAAAGGAGAATGCTCGGCTTTGAAATTCCCTTCTTTCCTAATTGTGTTAAGTTGTTTGCAAAAGGCGTTACCCGGTTATCCCTTTGAAAATTGGTCGTTAGTGAAAGACTAGGATGAAAGGACGTGTAGTCGAGAAATATGAGAAGGGAAAAGAAGAGAAGAAGAAAAATAAAAGTAGATGGTGTGTTAAAAGAAGAGAAACGATAAGATAAACAATGTGAGCCAAAAAAAAAAAAAGAAAGATAATGGAATTCAAAATGAACGAAAAAGAACAAATAAAGTGTATATAAAAAGAAATGAAAGAAAGCGTTAAAAACAAAAACAAAGGCAGTAGTAATACAAAATGAAAATCAACGAAAATTAAAAAACACTAATCAATCGTTTAAAGAAGGCGATAATTTAACGAAAATATACACAAAAATACAAAAGGCAATGAATTAAGAAGCAAATTTAACCAAAAGAAAACTAAATTTGAATTGAAAAATATTATGCAATCCCTTGTAAAAATACACACATAAAATGCAAACAAGTCGTTTACGGGCAAGCATTTCTTGGCTTTCAAAATGAAAAAAAATCGCTTGACGAAGGAGGAATTTAATCAATTTTGATTCGTTAATCAATCAGTTTATAAACAAGCTTCGCGAAAATTGCTTTTCAAACAAATTTCACTGTTTCGTTTTAGATGTTTGTGATGAGATCCTGAAGTTGAAATGGAATTTAATGACAAAGACGCGTTTAATATATATGAGAGATATCACATATAACCAACTAATCGGTTAGTCTTTACGTTCTAGAGAACTTATCAGTAAAAAAAAAAAAAGAAAACAAAAATCCTCCTAAGTATCTTAGATATGACTAATCATCTCACTGGAATTCTTCGAAGGTTTATAAAACTACGAATGTATAATTACTATTCAAGCTTAACAGAAATATCATGATGAAATCGATCATAAACGATAATGATGTGTCTATCATTAATTAATCATAGCCAAGGATCGAAAGCTCATGAAGAATTTGAATAAAGTTCATATATATATATATATATATATATATATATATATATATATATATATATATATATAGGATTCAGGATTATTTTCCAACTTATTCAGGATGATTTTCGCTCCCTCTAACCTTCTAACTTTCTGTTCTGCAGAGACAAATTGCCTCACAAGTTTCACGTACTATTGCCAAGTCATTTTTCACTGCTCTTTGGACTTTTATAGCTGAAACTCCTCTCTCAAGTGTCAAATGTATTATGAATTGAGTTGGATCTTTTCTAATTGATCTTCTAGCCCTAAGTTGAAATGATGATCCCTCTTCCTGTTGTTGTCTCCTGAACCAGTTTTCATCTCTATTGTTCTCTTTTTAAACTTATTTATCTCTTTATAGTTGTTAAATAGACATTTTAAGATGGATGCCAGAATATGAATGTTGGTATCATTACGAAATGATTTTTCCACTCACCATGAATCAGCTGGGAAGGCCTGGCTCTGGCACCCCCCACCCCCGAAAAAAATCTATTCCTTTTGCTATCTAGTCATCAAGACATGCAATGGCGTTCACTTTGCTGCTTCCATATGTAAAGACAATTACATAGTTGAGAGTCTTCATTTCAAACTAAATGGAATTGGTAAGTTTGTGATTATCGCTTGGCACTTATAATTTGCTTTGCAAGGGGAGTTGGTTTATGGGCAACTTGCATTTTCTTAATGATAAGCCCGAAGGTTTTCATTCGTTAGAAAAACGATCTACAAGTTCCTAAGTATCTTTTTTTCTGAGTAGAACATCTGCAAAAATCAAATCACGAATGATGCTACTTCTCGAAAACGTTTTACCCGGGAGCTATTGGTGGTTAAAAAGTTTTCTAGTTTTACTGAATCCGATTTTACCTTCTGTATCAATGTCACTGCAGATATGCATATGTATTAAACACAAGGATAAATCATAAAAGAAAATCGTAGCCATGATGCGGCTTTGTTTTTAGTGCTTTTCTTGACATCAAAGGAATCATAATGTTCTCTATCCGACATCACAGCAGCTTTCATTCTATGCTGAAAACGTATTAAGATCAGGTTGAGCAGTTTGTAAGGTATGGCAAGTTTCTTGAATACCCTTGAGATATAGTCTGTATTAACTGTGTTAAAGGTATTAGGTCAACAAACACCATGTACAATTCGTAATTCCTCTCATGGACATTCTCTGTAACCTGACAAAGTGAAATCGTGACATAACTGATCGAAAGATATATTGAAATTCTGCATCATCATTGATGTTTTCGATGATTCTATTAAATATGAGTCTATCTGGAATCTTTCCAGAAATAGGAGAGAGGTATCATGAAGGTTGTCACAAATATTTTTATTTCCTTTTTTTTAAAACGGTGCTTGATGGAGACATCGTTTAGTTCTTGATAAAGATTGGGCTGAAAATTTCCTGTAGTTTCTTGACCAACTGATGTCCACGATATTTGGAAATTTCTAGTGCAATAGTGTCCTTTCCCCGGAAATTGATCTGGGACAATTTTTGTGGAAGTATTTCACATCCTTTATAGTTGTTTCAACAGTCAGCAGGATTTGTGAGAAACGGAGGCTATGATTTATTAAAGTGTCTGGCTATTGAATGAGAGCAGAGTTGGTGATTCCTTTTCTATTGAACAGTAAATCTTTTTTGGACCATCGTAGAAAGCTTTAGAATACTTGTCATCAACTGATTCAGCAGTCGAGCGCCAAACTACTTTCATTTTCCTAAGGATAGACTGCACCTGTTTTTCTACTTTTTATACACATTTTTAGATGGAAGATTTTATGTGAGTCATGCATTCTTCTTGTTCTTGTTCTTCTTTTTCTTATTGAGAATGACGAAAAAAAGGATTACTGCAAAGGAGAGCATTATCTGGTAAGGGTGTATGTGATCATAACATCCTTCTAATCTCGCTTCCTTTTGATCACAATGTCTATCACGAACCAGTCGTTGACTTTTACAGTGCACCTATGATGCATTGTGTGAGTTTAGTTGCTGATCTAGTTTTTTGGTGTTGATGAGGTCTAATTCTCTGCAAAGATGATGAAGAACTTTTGAATTCATTCGACAAACACTAAGTCCTAGCACCCAGTTCCACGAATAATGATTGCGACCGACCTGTTCATTGAAGTCTCCCATAAAAATTAAATTAGAATCTGGTCAAAAAATTCATCTTTTTTCTCCTCAGAGCTGACCATCGTCTGGGCATAACAAATGACTAGTTTGGCACTAGTGTTCTTTTCTAGATTAAGGGCTAGCACTATAATTTGATATAAAATCCTTCTATAAAGAGAAAGTAAGGATTCTGATATTTCTGATTTTTTCAAATCTTTTTATTCTAAGCAAGGCAATAAAGCCACTAAGAAACAAGAGGTTACTGAGTGATAAAAATTGATATTGCATTCAAATATTTACAAATCCAACATATGATAGATGGCGTTTCTTCTACATCTTCAGTCAATTATGTGCCACGAGTGATACACGCTTAGACGATCATGGATCTTTCGATACATGACTGACAAGGCAGATTTGTTCCCGCAGTAGGTTGCCATTTCTTTCTATAGTAGACCAGTTCCCATCCAAGGCTATAGAACACGGCCTGTTCTGCTATTTAGCCATAGTTAGGGGGAGAAGAATAGGAAGATTCATACCTTTTCCAAGGGTATTAGTACGTAAGTAAATGCAATGGATTTGACAGGAATTCTATATCTTACTTCCTGTAAATGCGATAAACATGCATGACACGTTTCACTGAGTGCATTTATATTGAGGACATCATATTTCTGCAATGCAACTGCTGTTATATTGGAATTTATGCATATTCCAAAATATTCCAAAACCAAACATCGATTTTTTCCCTATTCCTGATAAGACTGTGTTATTGGCTATCCACACAGTTACACCAGGAAGCTAACTTCAAATTTGTAGAAAGCAATTTTTTTATGTCCCCTCTCTTTTTACCTACAGCAAAATCGCTCACAGATTAGTGCTAGATCTACCACCATCCAATCTTTAATATGCCGGCTTGAGCACCCCAGTAATACCATTAATTGATTCTCCTTGTCTTCATTTTCTCCTTAGTGAGCCTTTTAACAAGTAGTTGGAATCGGTATACATCTGAAGGGATCTTAACGATAAAACGAAACGAACTTGATATATTTGTGAAGAATGTAACAATAATCAAGAACCTATACTGGTAGCAAATTGTCTGCGTACGGATAGAAAATAAGTTCAGCAGATATACAAAAATAGCAAAGGGTGTAAGGCAAGGATGTGTCTTCTCACCGGAATTATTCAACCTATACAGCGAGGCAATTCAGAGGGAACTAGAAATCCTACCAGGATTCATCATTGGCAGCTACAGTCTTATCAACATAATGAATGCAATGTTCATAGCAGACACAAAAAGAAATCTGCAAAACTCCTACACAAGATAGCGAAGGAAAACGAGAGGAACGGATTAAAAATCAACTGCTAGAAAACAGAATGAATGGTTAAGAAAAGGATGAGTTCAAGGTTTTAATACAAATTGAAGATACCAAAATCAAATAAATCTGGGAAGTGTTTTACCAGTGTTTTACCAGCGTTTTACCAGTGAACGGAAAGTGTAAGACTGAAATCCGATGATAGCTAAGGAAGCGTTGCAAAAACTACACAGAGTAATAAGAAATATAAAATCTTCGCTAGAAAGAAGGAAAATGAGTACTAAATTGCTACATGAGATATATCCTCCTGTATGTCAGTAAGTGCTGAATGATCTCGAAGATGAAGAGGAGACTTCAATCAACAGAATTGTTGTTCTACAAAAGGATGTTGAGGATACTGTAGACCGTACATGTTGTTGCAGTTTTTTTTGTGTATATATATGTATATATATATGAGTTAGCCCAAATGACTTGACTCACTTTATAGT